CGGCAAGTGGTACCTTGTGGGTATTACAAGTTTTGGTGTAGGGTGTGGACTTCAGTCTAGGCCCGGTGTTTACACCAGGATCTCAATGTTTAAAGACTACATTGACACAATCACTGAGATTGGTGAGTTCGTCTTTTGACAAGTTTATTCAATAAACAGAGTATGTGCTCTTTTGAGAAATAGACTTGCTTCTCGCTACAAACAGGGAACGTCCCCCCGCCCCGTTTTGCAACTAAATTTTAAAAATTTCAATGCATATCAATGTCATGTTCTCTCACTTATCTAATCTGAAACTGATGTGTTCCCCTTCCCCTGTTTGAAAAAATTCTGGATTCGCCCCTGATTCTCAAATTTACAGAACGGTATCGAGTAAAAATTCGAAAATAATGAAAATAACAAAATAAGTTAAGAAACATTGTGCAATATGATTACACTACAATTAATACCGCATTTAGAACAGGTTATAATTCATCTCTCCTAGCTCAGGACTCTAATCAAGTTTCCAACTAAAAAAGATGGCCAAATAATTGATTCGTTCTTCTCAGTCCTACCCAGATGATCGGGGTTTGAATCTAAGCCAGACCAATTGTCTTTATTTGAAAAGAGAGCACTTTGTCTTATTATACCGGGGTACATGTGTTTCATACGTTCAATTTGTGTTTTTGTGGCCCTTGCGATCCAAGGCGCGGGGCTAAGCGAAACGGTCATTTCCAGATACATTTGAAAGCGCTGAATACAAGTTGTGCATTGTCTTAATACTACTGCAACATAATATATATAAGAGTAAGGCCCCTTCCTGAGTGTGTGTATAACATGTTCTAATGATCGAGATATAATTGAACAGTCTTGACATTATGCATCTTGCTTAATATCTTTGTTAGTTACCGGCAACAGGTACTTCCAATGTGCAAGCGGTTTTTGTTTGCCAAAAGAATATGTTTGTGATGGAGCACGTGACTGTTACAATGGAGAAGATGAGGAACAATGTATCCATGAAGACACCGATGCGATAGAAATATATGAAGACTTCTTTTACAGTGAATATTCATATGATGGTAGTATTATTGGAATATATTTTAATGACTTTAAAAGCAAGACGACATAATCATAAAATTGAGTTGGTTACATTGTACAGGATAATGAGAAGACTTTATGGATTATAAATGTATTTAATAAATATGTGTTTTCAATGGCATGTTTTCTTATAAAGTTACCATAACTAATTTGCATATATGAACAGTTAAGATTAAATGTTGATACAATGATAAACATTTATTATTATTATGCCTATAGTATAGGTAATATGTTTAGTGACAAATTCATTTACAGGTAATGGTGACTGCACTTACGTAGCGATTTTTCTAGGTTTTTTTTCAGAAACAGTCTGTGCATCTA